TGGTGCCAGAACCAGGCCTGTATCTCTAACCGTTTAGGAGATATCGAAGGTTAAAGTTTTCCAAGCTTTCTCCGTTGATATCTCCGCTTCTACTGGGAGTAGAGAGTCGTCACTTACGGCAAAATGTAGGGTTTTGAGAACTTTAATTTGGTGCCAGAACCAGGCCTGTATCTCTAACCGTTTAGGAGATATCGAAGGTTAAAGTTTTCCAAGCTTTCTCCGTCGATATCTCCGCTTCTACTGGGAGTTAGAGAGTCGCTCACTTACGGCAAAAATGTAGGGTTTGAGAGGACTTTAATTTGGTGCCAGAACCAGGCCTGTATCTCTACCGTTTTAGGAGATATCGAAGGTTAAAGTTTTCAAGTTCTCCTTGATATCTCCGCTTCTACTGGGAGTAGTAGAGTCGTCACTACGGCAACATGTAGGCGTTTTGAGAGGACTTTAATTTGGTGCCAGAACCAGGCCTGTATCTCAACCGTTTAGGAGATATCGAAGGTTAAAGTTTTCCAAGTTCTCCGTCATATCTCTCGCTTCTACTGGGAGTAGAGAGTCGTCACTTACGGCAAAATGTAGGGTTTTGTGAGGACTTTAATTTGGTGCCAGAACCAGGCCTGTATCTCTAACCGTTTAGGAGATATCGAGGTTAAAGTTTTTCCAAGCTTTCTCTGTCGATATCTCCGCTTCTACTGGGAATAGAGAGTCGTCACTATACGGCAAAATGTAGGGTTTTGAGAGGACTTTTAATTTGGTGCCCAGAACCAGGCCTGTATCTCTAAACCGTTTAGGAGATATCGAAGGTTAAAGTTTTCCAAGTTTCTCCGTTGATATCTCCGCTTCTACTGGGAGTAGAGAGTCGTCACTTACGGCAAAATGTAGGGTTTTGAGAGGACTTTAATTTGGTGCCAGAAACCAGGCCTGTATCTCTAAACCGTTTAGCAGGAGATATCGAAAGTTAAATTTTCCAAGCTTTCTCCGTCGATCATTCTCCGCTTCTACTGGGAGTAGAGAGCGTCACTTACGGCAGAATGTTAGGTTTGAGAGGACTTTAATTTGGTGCCAGAACCAGGCCTGTATCTCTAACCGTTTAGGAGATAATCGAGGTTAAAGTTTTCCAGCTTTCTCCGTTGATATCTCCGCTTCTACTGGGAGTGAGAAGTCGTCCACTTACGGCAAAATGTAGGTTTTGAGAGGACTTTAATTTGGTGCCAGAACCAGGCCTGTTATCTCTAACCGTTTAGGAGATATCGAAGGTTAAAGTTTTCCAAGCTTCTCCGTTGATATCTCCGCTTCTACTGGGAGTAGAGAGTCGTCACTTACGGCAAAATGTAGGGTTTTGAGAGGACTTTAATTTGGTGCCAGAACAGGCCTGTTATCTCTAACGTTTAGGAGATATTCGAAGGTTAAAAGTTTTCCAAGCTTTTCTCCGTTGATATCTCCGCCTCATGGGAGTAGGAGAGGCCGTCACTTACGGCAAAAATGTAGGGTTTTGAGAGGACTTTAATTTGGTGCCAGAACCAGGCCTGTATCTCTAACCGTTTAGGAGAATTATCGGGGCACGAAAGGAGCTAAATGACGTTATTTTTTTTTTTAAAAACAATATAAAGTTTATATATGTATTTATTATTTTTTAACCCTCGGCAACCAATATCGGCAATTTCTTACACTGGTGTTCGATATCATCTCGACTTCTCCGGTACTCGTGCGACTATACGTGGAGTGGTCAGTTCACATCTAGATACGTCGAGGACCAAATTATGTAAGTGTAGAGTTTTAGGAGGATGGAGATCTATCTGAGATATTCGGTTGACTAATTGAGAAAACAGGCCTGCTAACGTCCTGACCCGTTGTAGCGATGTTACCTGCTGGTTATCAGTGTTTGAGCCAGGATTTTTAGCCGAAGTATATTTCCGTCGTCCGATCACTATTACTCTCCGCTTCTACTGCCGAAGTAGAGAGTCGTGCCACTTCAACTCTTTGTACAAAAATGTAGATTGGTTTTTATGA